CCTGTGATCTGTCAAAAAGCACACTTGTCATTATTGTATTTCCACCAGTGGCATCCTTAAAAAGCCACATGCGCACATTACAGTGGGCCAGTCTCATACCACAACAGCTCCTTCGCTGACTCTGCTGATGGCACAGGAGGTCCCCGACTTGCGACACGACTGGTTCCGGAGGAAGCATCACAAGTTGAGGGAGTTGTAACTCGAACCCTCATTTGCGATAGGCGCCGTGTGCCATTGTAAATGCGGGCCGAGGATGTAAGTCAGGGGGTTCCGGCCCCTTCCGCACTTACAAAAATGGTTGTAAGTGCAGGGGGTCGGAACTCGGGCCGTCAGATCTCTGGGGCCTCCTGTATTTCCCCTCACCTCTGATTTTCCCAGCACTTCTCTACTCTTTGGCTCCACCTGCTGAGCCTGCAGGCCACTGCCTTGGTTTAGCACAGTGGTTCTCACTTAATACGCATTGTGGGCCACATGTGTCACAATATGTTACCTGGGCCACAGGAGTTGGGTGGCAGGGCAGCAGCAGCCCTGATCCTAACCCTGGACCCCCGCTGTGCCGCTGCCCCGGATCCTGCGATTCACATGGACGGGTGGCTGCCCCAGACCATTTGGGGCTGGTTGGCAGTCCCAGACCCCTCATAGCAGCCCAGGCCAGCTGCCCAAGCCCCCACTAGGCAGTTGTTCCAGCCCCTGGAGCTCACAGAGCCAGCTGGGAACCTCAGACCACCCACCACACAGCTGCCCCAGACCTCAGAGCTTGTGGGGCTGGGCAGCTACTCCAGATCTCCACAGCCAGCCAGATGTCCTGGACAATGCTTCTGGACCCCCGCCATGAGCCCTGAAGCCCCACTGCTGGACCCCTAACATGAGCCCTCCCCCGACCCCATGGAGCTGGCTGGGAGACCTGGACCCCAGACTACCACTGCTCAGGGCAGGCCAGCAACCCTGACCCTGCTATGCTGGGCAGTAGCCAGGAATCTGGTGGATCCCCACATGCCTGCAGCCTTGAGCATTGTGGTGGGCAACCTGCATCCCACTGGGATTCTATGTGTGGCCTGTGAGATATTTTGTTTACCATTGCCCATGCCCGATTCCATTGGTTTCCATCCACATCTTTTTTTTCCTACTGGTGTTACTAAAATGACATGCACATAAAGCAAGGTCATGTGAAGTGAGGTGCGTGCTGGTTGCACACAAGTTTGACTGTGAGAGCCAGGCCCTCCCTCTGCATCTAATCAAAGCACTTGGCCCACCCCGCGAATTCTAGGTATGCAAGTGCTATTAGCAAAACTACCCTATCCCAGGCGACCATCTTGGTTATGACAGCCTTGTGGCCCACTGAGATGGAGGGCCACTCACGCAGCCCACTCATAGCCTATGGTGCCAGTCCCCACTTTAGCACACAGCTAAGCTGGGCCACAGCCATGTGCTCATTAGGCTTTATGTGGCCTGTGGGCCACAAGTTGAGAGCCACTAGTCTAGCAACTAATAACAAGGCAGGATACTGCGTGTATCTCCCCCTTAGTGCTCTTTTTATGACTCATGTCTGTCATTTACAGTTAAAAAGTCCTAACTGGAAACAGAAACTTGACACAATTATGCCTTTAAATTTATTCTCTGTTAACTGGCAAACAGACAAGCTGCGCACCTGTCTCTATGTAGATTACTACTTACGAAGGGGGGATTTCAAAGGAAGAAAAGGGGAGTTAAGGCATGGGCTGGCTGCTCAAGTAAATGCCAATAGTCGTAGATAGGCTTGTACAACACAATTTGCCACCCAGGTGGCTGTGGCTTCACTGCTGTGGCTTCACTGCTCATGCTGCAGTCTACCTGATGGCAGCAAAGACAAAAAGGAGCCTTTTGGGTTATGAGGGAAGAGTTTATAAGTGTATTGCAAAAGCATGTGCATTCTGCACATGTAGAAACCATGCACATTATTTTAAGTCCATTCTGCCAGTCATGGGAGGAGGGAAACAGTCAAATGCAAACATAGTCAAGATGGTCATAAATGAAGGAAAACATCCAAACCTTTAGGCAGCGAATCATTTATATGCGTCTGTGTATGAAAATAGTATAGGTATCTGTACTGAATGTTGATAAAATAGAGATGTACAACTAAGCAAAAT